TCATCATCATCACACATATTCTTAACGTTGCCCCTGAACACCTCTTGCGGATCCGAGCGGTGTCTGCGCGCTCCCGTCTGCACACGAGGGACAACCAGCGTCCACGGCTTGCCCATCGCGCGGCCGTGGGCAAGCCGCCGCCCGGCGCACGCGCAGGGGGAGCGACACGCTCGAGCCGGCCTGGCCGCCACGGCGATTTGCGCTGTCCTTGGGGAGAATACAGCTTACATAAAAAACACCCTGCAACCAACCCACAAGTGACAAAACGAGTTGGCCCACACTTGCCAGGACAATGACACTGCAGGAACCGATTTATTGTTCGTGCAAACGACATGGGATGCGCCCACGCGACTCGATTCACGGGACAACAACAGAAGGACGAGGAGCGAAGACCCAGGCTTGGGGACGACATGGGGGCGGGATAGAAAGGCACGAAAAGGACGCGCGGGGAGCCGAACCGTCAGCGCGGCAGCAGCAGAAGGAAGGCGGCAGGGGGCAGAGGACGACGACGAAAGTGACGGGAAAAGACCGAAGAGTGTTGCTCTTTTGTCGGTAGCACAATAAAGATGCAGCGTTTCCTGCGCCATGTCGCCGCGGCGCTCGGAGAAATACGAAAACGAATTCGAATTAGCGCAAGAAGCAGAGACGAAGCAGGCCTAGCTCGCCCGCCTGTTTCTTTAGTTTCGAGCTGCACATTTCAGCGCGGGGGTTAAACGCTCGAAGGCGCGCCGCCAGGTCTGCGGGCGGCCCGCGGGCCAGGAAATCCAGGCCGGAGTCGCGTATCACCAGGAAGTTGCTCACGGCCGTTGCCCTGGACAGCATCACATAAGAGATGCAGCCAGGGTCTCCTGGTGGGCCGCGTAAGACGTCACTCCGGCGGACCCCCGGCAACCCTCCAAAGTAGCGACACTTTCGCAGATCGCAGCCCCCCAAAGATGGCGGGGTCCCCTGGTGGCCCGCGTTAGCCGCAACTTCGCGGACCCCCCACCAGCTCTAACAAGTGGCGACAATTTCGCAGATCACAGCCCCACAGGGATGACGGGATCTCATTTGAGTCTAGGTGAAACGTCACCCCGCTGGACCCCCAGCTGCCCTCGAAACGCACGACAGTTTCGCAGATCGCAACCTCCCCAGGGATGGCGAAGTCTCATCTGAATCTGCGAAGGACGTCACTCCGCTGCACCCCCCCAGCAACCCTCGAAAGTGGCGACAATTTCGCAGATCGCAGCGCCCCCCAGGGATGTCGAGGTCTCGGTTGAATCTGGGTAGGACGTCACTCCGCTGGACGCCCCGCAGGCAGGCAGGCAAAAGTCGCGCCCTGACGGCGCATGGGCAGCAAAACAACAAGCTGAAGATATACCTGAGGAGACACACGCATGGAAAAATACGTGCGGACGCCAAGCCAATACAGTGCCTCGGAGAGAGCGCCGGACCCTTCGTTCCAGAGCCGCGCGAGGGTGAGCTGCATCTTTACTCAAAAGGAAGGAAAGGGGTGGGGGAAGGGAGGAAGGGAGGAGGAACGAGAGGACGAAGGGGGAAAGAAAACCAAACCTATCGGCAGCACGTTTCTACGGCCTTGCGCCAATCACCTGGGTCTCCCTGCAGAAGGAATTTCAAGTGGTCTGGGTCATTTCCCGCCTCTTGCAAAGCCCTCGCACGCATGTCTTTTGTCCGTTGCAGGCGCCGGCGCCCCCAGGCGCGAGCACTGGCCCAATTGTCGTCGCAGTAAAAGCACAGATAGTGACATTGCGTCTGCAGTTAAACTCACTGTAGCATTGCTTATTCGAGACAAGTATGCTGGCGGTATTGTGTGAATACGTCGGAGGCTTCGCTTGAAAGCTGTCTGATATGTCCCTGTTTGCGTTCAACCACATACAACTCCCCTGACCATACGATAGCGTTAAAAATATACTGGTGTCCAACACCTTGGCGTTGTGTGTCCTGCTCATGTTGGCGTGGTTCCACACCCTGCGAATCGATTCGAATGCCTCTCTTGCTGCCCCTACCACACGTGTCACTTATGTTCGTGGGTTCCCGTCTGCGCTCAAAAAGCCACCTAGATACACCGCGGGGTCCTTGCAAACGATCGGGTTGCCATCTGGGCCTGTAACATTCGCTTCTGGGCGGATTCGCAAAAGTATTGTTTCGACGCAGTGGGCTCCAAGCCAAATGCCCTTCCGATCTGTTGAACAGCATCCGAATGAAGTTGCAGGGCTGCTGGGCTCGTAGCCACGAGCATTGCGTCGTCGACATATGACACATTATTTGAGACAACGTACCTCTTTGAACCACTATCGTAAGCGAACCTCTGCAGCTTGCTGCCGACCGCCTCCAGAAGCACCGACATGACGATGATGAACACATACGGTGATAATGGGCATCCCTGCGCTATGCCCGCAGCTTGAGCTCTGGCGGTAGTGGTTGCGCCCCCCTCTTTGCCTCTGAACTCTCTGGTCCGGTAGATCGCCTGCACCATGTCGACCATGGCGGGGGCGCGCGAGAATGGCGGAAGGCAAATATCAATTCGTCTGGCTTGATTATGTCGAACGCCATACTCCAATCCAAGAGTAACAGCACCAAACTCCCGTCTGCATCCTCCAGGGTTGCGTCGATGAGCCGACGCGCCAAGAACAAAGCGTCAGTCGCGCCGAGCCCAGGGCGGAATCCAAACTGAGATTCCCGCCGAAAATTCTCCACCCCACCGAACTTCAACTTCTGCAGACTGATACTTGCCAGAACCTTGCATCCAACGTCAAGGGGCGATATTGGTCTGTAGTTGCTGGGCATAAGTGCCACCCTTCTCGAAGGTACGAACGATAGACGCTTCTCGCCAGTCATCGGACATGTCTTCCTGCTGCCAACATGCATTGCACAAGTCCAGAAGAATCCTCAATGCCGCGTCATTTTGCCATAGCTCTTGCCACAGATCCGGCGGCACGCCGTCACTTCCAGCTGCCTTCTTCCTGCTGAAGGGATTCGACTGCACGACGTAGTCCTTTCAGTG